CAAGGAGGGGTCGCTATGAGTCGGGGCTGACTCGACGGCACATAACAACAACAGCAACATGCCTGTTCTAGATAGAAATTCAGATTGACATCACAAATTCTGGATATGCAGTTACATTCAATTAACTCTGAAAAAGTATAAAATCCCATAGCTGAAAAGAAAAATATTAGTATCAATGGATACTGTTACATAGCAGGATCATGGTAGACATATTTCTCCAGTGTTAAGAAAAGAGCTCAAACTCTATTTTGACAAGCTGTCAGAGCTGAAGCTTGTTATTTTTGTTTAAATTACTACTAGGTTGTACAATTCATCTCTCCACAAGATTTTTATTGCTGTTACTCTTCTGTACCCATGGAAAGCATCATCTACTACTCTACTTTCCATTTCTGTCCTCCCCATCATCTCTCTCTCTATAATCCTTGACTCCTTGTCCATCCTTGTCCACCACTCTATTCTTGACACAGCAGCCAAAGCCGCCTTTTAAATAAATAAATTAGATCACGTTTGGGGGAACAAAAAAAAACAGTTGCCATCAAGTCACCTCCAACTCATGATGACCTCCTATGTGTCAGAGTAGAACTGTGCTGCACAGGGTTTCAATGGCTGATTTTTCACAAGTCGGTCGCCAGACCTTTCTTCCAAGGCACCTCCAGGTGGACTCAAACCTCAAACTTTTTGGTTAGTTGCTGAGCATATTAACTATTTGCACCACCCAGGACTCCTTGGTCACATTACTTCCTTAATTAAAGCTGCCCAATATGGTCTTTGTGGCCCTGTCCCATCTGCCCAGATCTACCTTCTCCCTGACTACCCCTCCTCTCCTAGGTCATGCTGCTTCTGTTCTGTTTCTAATGCTAGGTCTTGAACTTGCTGCCCACTTAACCTAGAAGGCTTAATTTGTTCATGTCTTCATGAGGCTGGCTATTTCCTTTGGAAATTAAGGTTAAAAGTGGTGTAGTGTTTAAGGCATTTGGCGGCAAACCAAAAGGTTGGTGATCTGAATCCACCAAACACTCTGCAGAAGAAAGATGAAGCAGTCTGCTTCTGTAAAGATCTACAGTCTTGGAAACCCAATGGGAGTTGCTACAAGTCAGAATTGACACCGTGGCAGTGAGTTTGGTTTTAGTTTGCCACTTTCAAAGAGTTCCTCCTTGACTACCCAACTAAAGGAGACCCTCACATTTCCCCAGTCACTATAATTCCTGTTTAATTTTCTTTCTAACACTTCCTAACACTTCAGAACCATACATGAAATTACCTAGCTTACTTGCTTCTACAACCCATCTGTCAATTTGTCATACTATAAGGGGTTGCATGTTGTAATAATGGAAGCTATGTCACCAGTATTTCAAATACCAGCACGTTTGCCCACAATGAACAGGTTTTAGTGGAGCTTCCAGACTGAGAGAGACTAGAAAGAATGGTCTGGTGATCTGCTTCCAAAAATTAACCAATGAAAACCTTATATATCACAACAGAACCTTGTCCAACTCACTTGCTTTGAACACATCATTGGGAAGGGATCAATTGCTGGAGGAAGACATCATGTCTGGTGGAGGGCCAGTGACAGAGGGACAGAGGGAGACCTTCAGTGAGATGGATTAGAACAATAGCCAAATGGATCTGAGCATGCAGATGATCATGCAGATGATTCAGGATCACACAGCATTTTGTTCAGCTACCATGAGTGGGAGTCAATTAAAGAGGTCACTATGAGTAGGAGCCAACTCAAAAACAGCCATCCATCCATCCATCCATCCATGTATCTGTACTAGAGCTAGAATCTTGTCTAGCTTGTATACCTAGAATGTTACCTGGTATATAATAAATATTTTCCAAGTAAATGAATAATGCTAGTATTATAGGCCAGGTACTGTGCTAAAAACCTGGCAAATACTACCTTGTTTAATTCTCATAAGAAATCTAGAAGAAATACACTCATCTCTCTTTTTCCCAGACATGAAACACTGAGGAGGAGGGGAGAAGTTAGGTGACTTCCCTAAGGTCAGATGGCAAGGAAGTGAGAAGGCTGTATAAAGCAGTGGTGAAGAACAGAGGCTTTGAAGTGACTCTGCCTGCCTTTGGTCCGAGACCCAGCTTTATCCTCGCTAGCTCTGCAGCCCTGGACAAGTTACCTCATTTCTTAGAACCTCAGTAAACCTAAATCAAATGGGAATAAAAGTAGCACTACTCCATATGATTTTGTGAGGTTAAAATAAGATTATGCATAGAAAGTCTATAGCAGAAAAATTGATACATGCTAGCTGCTGTCACTAACAGTCAGAGTAGGGATCGAACTGTCTAGTACCAATACTGGCTCTTGACTGATACATTAAACTGCGTCACGGGCCTCCTGACCAGCTCTCTTCCACTCCATTGGGAAGCAGCAAGATTTTTCCACCCC